AAAATGACTTTATGCAACTTTGCGATACCAGGGGCGTAGAATTTGCGCTACTAATTTTACGCTACTAAATAAAGGAGCTTACACACATAGGCTTGCGGGTGTTTTTTTTAGCTTTTGTAATATTTGTGTTTTTTGAGGTTTCGATTTTAGTTCCTGTGATGGAATTGTATTTCTAGCAATAGAACTCTCCGCTTTTATGTAACACCTTTTAAGACTTAAAGATAAGAGTAAAAGTTGACGTTTGTCATACTTACCTCTTAAAAGTGTGTTTTATTTTGTAGCACTGTCCTTACGTTACATATCTTGTATGCACTCCTTAACAATTTTGCGTTACCATTTTACGTCACTCTGCGCTATGGACTCGTAGAAATTTTTGCGACACCATTGCGCTATTTGTGGCAAAATCTACGGCCTGACCCTTGTACCAAGCACAAGTTCGCTCATGCATGGAGTACTGTTCGCACCTTTGGGACGGTTCTGCAAAATATCAGCTAGAGTCTCTGGAGTGCATTGAGAGGCGTACAAAGAAGCTCATCGGTGACGACAAATTATTCGAGACTAGACTCCAAAGTCTTGAACACAGGCGAAAAGTTGCCTCTTTATCGGTTTTTTATCGGTTACATTTCGGAGAGTGTGCTTTGGAGTTACATAACTTAATTCCATCTTCACCTTTTTACCACAGAACCACCAGAGAGACGGCAAAACGCCACCCACAGATATACCGTAGAGGTCCCACAAACTCGTACTAAACGGTTTGCTTCCACCTATGTAGTCAAAACAGCTAGGTTGTGGAACTCTTTGCCGGAATCTCTGTTTCCAGTCACCTATAATCTGGGGCTCTTCAAGTCGCGAGTGAATCGGTTTCTTCTAGGCAAGCGCGTCCCACCTTAGGCTGCTACGTCGCTCTTCATCAGTCGCGTGGCCGTTAAGCGTAAGCCTATTTACTGTAAAAAAAAAAAAAAAAAACGAGCGAGCCTTACAGTAGTCACGTATGATGTGTAACATTTTAAAACCTCACCTTTTATTAGTAAAAAAAGAAATAAAACCTACTACAAAAAGAATAAGCTATTTGAACATTATGTTCTAAAATCAAATCAATTAGCGCGCGCTTCCGCGACTTCCTGTTACACACTTCCGTTCCATTTCACGAAATCACTCCCACAAATTGCAGGAAAGCGAGAGGAAAGATGTTACACATCAAAAAACTCATGTGATGCACAGCAATGCACACAGCGAACTTTAATCTGTGTTACGATTTCGATTCCGATTCATAGAGCTGGACTCGGTATTATAGGACCCTATATAGTTAGTTCCCTTACCTAACTACCTCGCTTATAATCCGGCTTGTTGCCTAGCTAACTGCCTAGTTAGATGCCTCACTAAGTTGTGACGTTAATTTTGAAAATACCGCCATACCGTACGGATGTACTTATTTCGTTTCAAAATAAAACTAATCTGGGCACAGCAACTCACACAGCGAACTTGTGATCTGCGTTGCGCTCTTAATCCGATTTAAAGAGCTCTCCTGGCCCAGTATTGTTTATCGTCTACTCTTTTGAAAAGCTAAAGAAAATTTTTACTAGAAAATTATATATTACTAGTGGCCCGCCCTCGCTTCGATTCGGTGTAGAGCTGTAGTGTAGACTAGACTCTTCATATAATTAAAAAAAACTGAAAATGGTATATTTGCCTTTTCCAAACTTTTATTGACATCACGTCACTCAATTGTTTTGCCTTCCCGGAACTTCTCCACTAACAATTGAAATTTATGGTAAGTATTAAAGTTCAAATTGACTTTTAAGTATTACTACGAATTGTTTGTATGGGAGTATAGAAGTGTTGTTTTTGGACTTTTTAAGCCATTTTTTTTTAATTTTTCTCTGCCTAAGAACCATCCTCGTACTTCAAGGAATATTCTAAAAAAAGAATTATCGAAATCGGTTCAGCTGTTCTCGAGATTTGCGCTTAGCAACACATTCAACGATTCATTTTAATATTATAGACTAGTAAAATTTTCTTTACATTTAAACGTCTAGCAGTTACTTCCAGTGTGCGCTTTACTTAAATTTTCGGGCAACAAAATGTCCGCGAAAGACAATCCATCGTCTGCACAGGCCATTATACATGCCTAAGTATCGTATATTTAGGTAAATATGATAGAATTAAAAAAATATCCAGAGTGCCAATCCATGATAGACGTGGGGGGAATTATTGTACCTCGAGGGCCAATCACTATACAATTGAAACTTTTTCTGTTGATTTTGAAATAATTTAATGCAAAATTATTGAAATGTTTAAAGTCTTCTTATTTTGATACTCAAACCCTACTTTCTATTATTGTGGAACAACATTAAATCAAAAAGTAATAATTAATATACTACAGACAAACAAATCGCTTATCACTGTATAGTCTATATACGTAAATCTCGGGCAAGAATTAAGAATTAGAAAAACGATAGCAATTATCATATAAAATCGTTTATTCCATAGATAGACTACATCTCACTTAAAATCTTTATTCAATTTAAACATACTTAATGTACATCCAAGTATAGTGATGTTAAGAATACGCTTAATAAATCGTACTTAACTCATTAGGTAAACATATAAGTGTTTCATTTGAATATTAATAAAAACCTTTGTAAATGGCGTAAAACATTTTAAGGTTATTTAAATTCTACCTATTTTATTTAATTAAAAATAACATAAGCAAATGCTATAACTGTTTTAAAAATGCTTTATATGGATTAAGTAATTTAACAATCATTAAGACTAAACTTTAAATGACATGTACACTTCATACACAAAAAATAAACAATAACTTTATGAGAAGAATTAAACTATGAACCTAGTACATAAATCGTTTAAAATAGTTTTCTTAAATTTTAATCAAATGTAACTAATTAGATGCTGTTTTATACTGACATTAACATGGAAAAATATGGAATTATTATAACCTAAAAGTCCCTTAACGACTACCTACTTATTTTTACTTATCTGTGTCTTAAATGTCTTGCACAAACCATAGTACTATGTAACTTTATCTATGGCCAATGCCATTTACTAAATAATAATTAATAGGCTTCGGTAGAAGTAAGTAAAGATTCAAAATAACACTTTCATTTCCATTAACATATTTTTAAATTAAAGATAAGTATTTAGAATCCTTAGACTAGGATTAACCCCTTATAGTGTTACAATTAATAACAAACAAACCTGCGTCTCTAGCAAGGAAGTAAAATTAATTACTAGGTACCTACTTAGTACTGACGTCTGTGCAATTACAATCTATTATGCAACAAAATGGAGATATTTAGGTACTTATTTCCAAAAAATCTTATACATAAACTAAATTTCTTGTTAATTTCTAATACCATTAAAGTAAGACCAGCCGGACTATAAACACATTTGCAAGTTAATAATTAATGTACCAACTACATTAGATTCAGAAAATTAAAATAAAATCATATTTAGTATAAGCCCTGAATATAATATCTGACGACCTCCGTGGCCGAGTGGTTTGTACGCCGGGTTTCATGGTGTCGCCGACTCGAGAGGTCCCAGGTTCGTATCCCGGTGGGGGCAGATGTTTGTGTGATGAATACGAGTACACAGTGCGTAGTTTGGGGCTAGGCTAATTGGTGTGAGTGTTGGAAATATTTATTTATTTAATTATTATTATTTATTAAAAACGAAAATAATTTTAATATTTATTTTTAGTAAGCAGTTTTATTAATATTTATTTTTAAAAACTAACGACGATGTGAGATAAAAGTTAATACTACTACTGAAAAACGATACCATTACGACACTTTGACAAACATTAAAAATTGAAAAAGTAAAAATTATATCCAAATGCGTATCCTTATGTGTATTTTATGAATAGCATTACTTAGCACAAAAGGTGAGCCAAAGTCACAACGACAGGGGCATACTACATCAATATAATTATAATTTTAGAAAACCTAACATACATTTAATTACAAAGATACATCAATGTATTATTACTGTCATCTTGTTAAATTTAACTTTGTAAATCATACATTCATCTTAAATGAGCTTATTAAAAAAGTTATGTAACAAACTTTATGTTTATATTATGAAAACTCTTAATAAGAAATTTTAAGACAGGCAGTTCATGTAACTGTTAAATTACTTCTCGAATTTATTATATGTTCCTAATTATAAAAAATGCTTACATCTGCCAAAATAGATAAAATTATTTACCTACTTATTCTAAATTATTAAAACATATTTGGTGTTAATCTAAATGGCGGGTGTTGCGTTAAGAATATTGGATCCAACCAAAATCACCTTAAATCTACTAATAATAAAAATTACGTCTATGATGCATTAAAAAAATACATAAACTGTGAAAGTGTGTGTTGATCCTTCCATCTCACTAAGAAAAGTTGAAAGTAATTTAATTTTGAGCTGTACCCTTAGCACTGACCAATATCGAATTCGAATAGTTGAATTGACGGAAATTTTAACAGCATCACAATGGACGTAACGAGATTTAAAAATCTTCCTAAAACTTCTTGACATATAATACGTATCGATATCGAATTCAAGTATTCGAATTCGATATCGGTTCGTGCTAAAGTACTGATTGAAAAAAGGCTAAGCCAAAACAGACTTAAAACGCGACGTCACCCAACGCCACGCAAGTCAAATCAATTAGGTACATCAAACGCGACGCGATACGCACACACGGTTCATAGAAAATATGCGTCGTGTGGCGTCGCGTTTCAAAGTCTGTTTCGGCCTTTAGTTTTTAAGCTACAATATCTCTTAACATAAAAACGAGTCATTTAGGCTAAATTTATCTCCTAGGAGGTTCACTTATTATTTGTAATAACTTTGCATACTAAAACATACTTTGTTTTTGGTTAATTTCACTAGGTTTTTATTCACACAACGCTTCCGATCCAAACACACTTTAACGACAGGCGAAAATGATTTTACTACACTCAATTTTGTCTACTTTAGTACTTATCTTAGCGAAGGAAAATAAAGTTAAGACTTCATTTTCATTACGAAGACGAAAAATAAATCGGTTTTCCTTGTCCGCTTCTCTAATAATAGCTATAAAAAGGCGGTTGGTGCCTACCAGGGCACGTGTTATTAAAGGAAGCTGAGAATTAAGCTAAGATTCGTGTAAAATATTGTGCAATTTCATGTATGGGTATTTCCAGAGCGGGATTTAAAACGGTATTTATACTGCCAATTTTAAGGGCCACTTACCCGGACTAAGACTGGTGTAACATGAGTTAGGGTTTAAGGGACCCGATCGGCGCGCGGTGTAATAATTGCTACCCTAGCTAAGGGCCACGCCCACCCTTTCGATAGGGCCCTTAAAATTGGGTAGTGTAAATGACGTATAAGGCAGGGCGGGCGGGGTTGTGGCCCAGGGCCAGGCCGACAGAATAGGGTCCTCCACAACAAAGATAAAAGAAATAAAATTACGACGCATTTACCAGGATTTACCAGGGATGTGCAAATCGTAAGTGATCCGGTCCAGATTTAGAGAGCTCCACTTCTTCGTTAGGTCTTTTCGTTTCCAAGGGTCTCCACAACTTCAAATCCGGCCCTGGGTATTTCATTTATGAGCACATAAGAGTCCCCATTGTTCGTACCGATTTTTTCATCTGGAAAATCTACGTGATAGTGTTTAAGCAATGTCTTACCATAGATACACGTATAAGTAGAATCCGTCTTCCTTGATTGCTACACACAAAAGATCCTTTTATGAAAATACTTACCCAATTATATATAACGTACCTCTACGGTATAGCCATCAATAAGGAGCCCGTTGAAAACCTCTGGGATACTTGCTAAGGAAATATAATTGGATCATTTTAATTAAAGTACACAATGTGTAACGTAAAATATCTATATTTTATTTTCTTTCCTGCCCTAATACCCTTTTTAATATTACATCATACATAACAGGGATGATAACTTTTTTTTTCTTCGCCGTCACCATGATTTTTAAAAGGTATTGGAGACATATTTTTCTATATAGACACAACGTGTTTTAGTTACTTACAAGTGCTAATTACATATGGACTAATAACTTAAATTCAGTAGTGATTTTAATTGAATATTTTGAATATTTATTTAATTTTTCAAATTAAAACTGAACTTAATTGACTGTGTTAACTATCCTTTTCCAGTCCTGTTATTACTTTATTTGAAATTATTAATTATTTGCATGCAATTAAAAAATATTTTTAATGATGCTAAAGAAGTATAACTTCTCACGCGCGTACATAAGTTACACGCATCCATTTTTTTAAGCATTTAACTTCTAGATATTAAAAATCTAAAAAAAAGTTATTAGAAATATGGTCCATGGTACTGCCTTGCAGACTAAGAAATACTAGAGACAAGTCGACACGGACAATTAGGGCCGCGGTAGCATAAAGCCCGTCACAGACGTAGCTATAATATATATTAATAAAATATATATTATATTATAGCAAACTACCACAGGCGGGAGCTATACTATAATATATATTTTGCCCTCACTCGGTCTGTGGTCGTACTGTACCGTAATATACCGAAATATATCTGTCGACATATTTTGGTGACGTCATAGAAATATATATTATAGCTGCGTGTGCGGTCACTCTAAAATTTATATTGAAAATATGTTGTAATATGTCTTGCTGTGATTCATATTAATATATATTATAGCTACGTCTGTGACGGGCTTAATGGTCATTGCATTCGCCCGGAAAGCGGAAGTCGCGGGAATTTTTACTAGTAAAATTTTCATCACATATTTTTTTCTATATTCACATAATCAAAACATTACAGAGATTATATTGATTTGAAAGTGACATTGATGTAAAGGATACGAAAACATCTTTCGGCGTGGGCTCGTTGTGAGAACTGAGCGACAGCACATCCGGGCGTAGTTAATTGGAGTGATAAAACTTGCCCGCAGAGAGAAACCTTCTCACATAGAAGGGGGAATGTCGTAGAAGGCGGCAACTGAAAACAGGAAAACTGTAGTAGTCAAATTATTTTTGACTCAACGAAACTCGTACAAATCTTGCTCCAGTATACCAGAAAAAAAAATGTATATAAAATCACACTTGGAGTGGTTGGACTTGCACATTTCACTAAATAGGTACTTAAATATTTTGTATTCCTGCCGGCTTATGAAAACAAAATGTCAAGCACGACAGTTCTATGATAGAAGCATTCAAAACTTCACAAAGATATACATTCTATCTTATATGCAAAATTGCAAGGCACTACTGAAGTGCATTTCACAAAAGAATCACATTTTTTTTAAATGATTTCTAGGGCCACACTTTTTAATAATATTCTAATAACTCGAAAAAAAATACACATATTATACTTGTTAACGCCATCTATCCTTCGACGAGGGAATCTACAATCGGTCCATCATCATCGTCCATTCATACATTCATTAGTTTTATATAGATACACTCTCCCTCCTTGCGATTCAAATTCAAAAAGACAACGTACGCACATAATTTCAATAGGATCTGTATTTTACTTCGAATAATATTCTACAATCTGAATATCCGATTTTTATTGAGAAATCCACATAAAGGAGACACTAAGCTATCGAACAATACTTTCATTCATTCTAGAATAAACAATGAGCATACGTACATTTCTGAATTGTAAAGAAATTGTGCTCGGTGCAGGAGGTCCTTGGATCGGCACAGCGCCCATGCCAGGTGGCACAAACGCATGTGGCTGCATAGTATTAGGAGGCCCGTAACCGCCAGGTCGAATATTCATATTCATTGGTGCAGGACCTGGGACCCGTGCTGGTCCCATAGGATTCATTGTCATTCCTTGAGGTCCAGTATGACCCATTCTAACTCCTTGTGGGCCTGGAAGAGCCATTCCTGGATGCATGGTGAAGTTGGGAGTTCCCATTGCCCTAACGTTCATTCTTGGATTAATCACTCCTGGCTGTGTAGATGGACTTGTATTAAAACCTGGTGGACCGGAAACTGGTCTAGCTTGTAAGCCAGGCTCTGAAGATGTTGCAGGTCTTGCAGAAGGCGATGAAGATTCTAAAGGGATTACTGTTAGATTCCGGCGAGTAGGGCGATCAGGTTGAACGTTAGGGCTTTTAAGGGGGATAAAATCGGCACTTTTGTCATTTGTTTCAGTTTTATTGGTCCCTTTATTATTACTGTCCACGCTGTCATGGTTGGACTGAGGACTACTATTATCCGAATTAATTTTTGCTTTCTTCGTCGGAGGAGCTGATTCCTCTAAATCATCCCAGCTTTCAACGCTCCTAACTTTGAATGACATAGTGCGCTTCGTTAAATCGTTATTCTCTTCTTTCTGTTTTCTATCATAACCTGACTGACTATTTCCATTTTCGAATTTTGAGAAAAGGATCGGGTCTACTAGGGATTCCTCTTTGTTAATGAACTGCTTGTAATGGTCAACAATATTTCTCAATGGTTTCCCTCTAACACCTAATCCTGGTCCAACGTTAGTCAGTCCCTTCGGCATTATAACTGTATCTGTCGGACACAAGACCATATTTATTTTCAATTTCTGTCCAAAAAAAGTTTGTCCATTCAACATTGACACAGCCTGAAATAAAATCAACTTTATTAAAATTCATAATGAAACTGACAAGAATTGACATTTTGCTCATTTGAATATGTATCGCAAGTTTCCTCGTTAAACCAGATTCTTTTATGTTCAGAATAAAATGATTGACGAGTATCGTTGGCGTAATGATTAAAAGCAATTTTCTATGGTGACAAACCTGAACAGCTTCTAGTGGGTGGCTGTACATGGCTCTTGCATAGCGTTCACGGATCGGTACAACGGAGCATATTACAACATGTCCAGCTAATTCTAACACCTCCTTCAACTCCCATTTATCACACCTAAACTGTTAGAATAAATTAAGCATATTTTTAATAGATTAAAATAAATCTTATACATAGGGCGCACAAATTTCCGGAACCAGGTACTTTATCAAACATAAATTAAGGCTTAATTCTATTTAACACATCATTCCATCCTTGTCAGATTTGTAAAATCAAATAGAGATTTTATTACTTGCTATCAGAACTTTGATCCAAGTGGGTCAAATATTTGGCTTTAAAAAGAACATTGGTATCGATTCTGGCAAGATTCTCTAAACCTAAACTTAAATTTGACAACAGTGTATCCTTGTCATTCTCTATACAGAGTGAAAAGGAGAGATTGATGTTAAATTTAGCGAATCATGCCGGAATCGACACCATTGTTTTATCTATTTACATTTTGGCGCTATTTTAAATACAGTATGTCGACGTTACGCCTGGAACATGTGAAAAAAACGTTTTATGAATTTACGATTTTAAGTGTAGTTTGACGCCTCAGCTGAGTGCCGCTCGGCTTTAAACTGCTATAGATGATGAAGCACTATGCATACGTACGTACTGTTTGTAGCCAGTTTGCAAAGTTTAATTTACAGCTGTGGGTCAGAATAATCAAGAGTTATTAACGCGGTCAATGGTTGTCATCACTCGTCGAAAGATAAAGGCTAGCCCATACTACAGCCGCGACGGACAACAGACACCACATTGCAAAATTGCGCCAAAGCACATTGGAGTCGTATTGGGGAACGGCGCAACGTATTAATCCAAATTAACGGATAGTCCTGACGAATAATTATATTTAATAAATATACTGTTATATGCTGTTAACGTGTTAATATGTTAACAAAAAGTTAAAACAAAAAAGTAAAAGGAAACGTATTATGGGTTCGCGAAATTTGCAAAAACAGAAATTGTTCGGGGAAATTCACATCATTTTGAAACCTATTAAGAAATGAGAAAAAAAGGTTTCTTTTTCGAAGAATTCGAAGGATAAACATATGAAAGTATCATGTACTTTTTGAAGTGAAACTCTTTACGCACGCTTGACTTGGGAGGTAAGCTGGCGACTGCGTTACGGGTTACGAAAAGTATTCGGGCGAGGCGAACGGGAGTTGAGTGGAGATATAAGCAAGAGAAAGCAGTGCGCGCACATTTTCTTTCTCTATTTCTCTTATAGCTAGTAAATGAAATATTTATATGTACATACATGTATATAGGGTGAAATTGAATGTTTCAATGAAACTTCGTGAGATTGGTGGGTTACGTGTATAGAGTATGCCTGATTATTTTCGGATTTTTTAAAATTTTTTTTTACGTGTTTTATTTTTTTATTTGGTTATTATTTGTCATTTCTTCCTTATCAGTAATTATTCATTTTAAACACGTCTACATAGAAGTTGTAAAACCACTTAAAATAAGCACTCCTAAAAAAACGGAAACTTAATGAATGCCTCCAGTCCAGATCAGCCCCGGCCGGGGGCGACGACCGGCGCCGGCGGCTGCCTATCTAGGTACCTACGACACGCACAGATGACTCGGCGCTTACCTACTATCCGCATTGATTCCACACTATTTAAAAACATTACAATAAAATAGTCTTATATGCTATATTATAATTATTTATTCACTGATACACAATACCTTTGAATATTATTTCATAAAGCACAGGTAATTAATCAATAAAATAAATCTTCTGTTAGAGCAATTAAAAATCCTATAAAGTTAATATGACTGTCACGATTTTAAATCGGTAAAGACTGTCTGTTAGTGTAAGAACTTCTTTTTTATTGTTGATGTTAGTTGCCTCGTTTAATTAAAACTTGAGCAAACGGCGAAAAATTATTTATTTATTTATTTTTATTTATTTATTTACTAGGACCACCAGGGAAAGTTACATTAAATCTTATTTTTAAACATTATAGTGATACATACAAAATGCAAAATTCTATTGAAGGTAGCCACATCATGCTTAAGAGACAGTACGAACGGATGAATTTTAATTAAATAAACAAACAGAAACACAAACCGAAACCACATGTAAACAATGAAGTTTATGAACTATTAGTGGCTTTGAAACTATAGATAATAGAAAACGAATATATTAAATAAATTATACAGAGCAAATCGGTTTAACTTACGAGCTTAGTGAAGGAAATAACTCTTCGTGACTGATTTGCCCACGTCATGAAATTCCAAACACATTTAATCACAGTCACAGTCACACACACACACACACACAATATGTTGTTTTGCGGCAAGCACGGTCGGGCGACGCGCCGCCCGCGCGCCCGCTGGCAAGAAGTGCAGCGCTGGCGCCGGTCGCGGCGTCTTTAATGATGTGAATCCGTTTTCGTTTATAGTGCGCGTTTTCCTTTCAGAGAAGAAAGAAACAGCACGATTCGCCAAAGTTTCGCTAAAGGTGCGAATACACTAAATCAGCAATAGCGATGTATTGAACAATCTGACGCCTAGTTCTCCAACATTTTTATCAACAAATGAATGAATTGTTGTGGATACAACAACTTTATAATTTTGAAATGTTAAATGTTTATCATGTTGTTCGATTAAGGCACTTCGCGCACTAGACGACCGCGGACACGATCAGTTGTGGACGTGGCCGCAACCTTGGTCGCAGAGGCGGTTGGGCTGCGGCTGCGGTCTGCGGCCACGACCACGACTGGTCGTGACGCTACCATATTGCTGGTCGTTTATTTCATTAATTAATAACTCTGTATCAAAACTTATTGTAGAAAAAAACGTCGTCATATTCAGTCGAAGAACGGTATGAAACATGTTCATTCACGAACTGTCCGCATGACCTTGACACTGAGATTGACCGCATTCGCTGTCGCAGATCTAGTGCGGGCCAGTACGACTGGTCGTTGCGACTATCTTCCGTATAGTTGGCTATGAGCGCTCGCACTCTAGATCTGCGATCGCAAATGCGGCCTGGTCGCTTCAGCCATTCTCAGTGTCATGCTGATAGTTCGTGAAAGAGCACGCTTCGTATCGTTCCGCAATTCTATAGGACGAAGATATTTTTCTGCAATGAGCTTTGAAAGAGTTATTTATTAATGAAATAAAGAAACGACCAGTAATATGGTCGCTTTACGACCAGTCGTGGTCGTTGCCACAAACTTGTCCGCAGCCCAACCGTAGCTTCTGCGATCAAGGTTGTGGTGACGGCCACGACCACGGCTGGTCATGGTCGTGGCCTAGTGCACGACGTGCCTTAGTTAATCTGGTCCTCGCGGCTCCTGGTCGTGGTCATAATCGTCTAGTGCGCGAGGTGCCTTACTGAGGCAGTAACAAATATCAACGGCAGTTTTTTTTGTAAATGTTTGACTATAGAAATACAAGGCTTTACTTTAGTCTTAGTCTTAGTAAGTAGTACGGCGCGGGCTATTTCGGCATGATTATGTGAAAGCACCTTTAAAAGTCCTGCCTTTTATGTACGCCGACGCTCGCCCGCCCACCTCCCCTCTTCCCCGCGCGCGGTGCTTTGCTTTGATTGCAATGCATGCAAAGGGCAGTCGCAAGTATATCAATCGCGCGTGCGCATCTTTTGACTTAGTGACAAACACTGTGATAATTTCATTATGCCTCGGTATACGAACCAAGAATATTTAGAAATGGTGTACTGCTATCGCGAGTGTGACGAAGTGCTCAGTAGAGCCGCAAGGCTTTACGAAGATAGGTTTGGTTTACGAGTATGTCCGCAAACCATACTCAACGCCGTATACAGATTCCGCGAAACTGGACTCTTCAACGCACCGGCGACTGACTCTGGGCGACCTCGTATTTATACCGATTTGGAAGAAGAAATTCCGGTTTTCTTCCGTCAGCATCCAATGGCAAGCACCAGAGATGCCGCAGCCGTATTTGGTGAAAGCCAATATTACGTGTGGCGGCTTTTACACGAAGAGGAAGGCAGTCCCAGCTATCCTTATCATCTGACCAAAGTGCAAGAGTTGGCGCCACCGGATTTACCAGCTCGGCTGCAGTTCTGCACGTGGCTACGCGAAGAGCGCCGTCAGATTTTGTGGACAGATGAATCTACATTCAACCGAGTTGGAATGTTTAACATTCACAACTCCCACTTTTGGAGTGACGTGAACCCGCGTCAAGTCAGACCCTCACACTTCCAACGACGCTTCAGTGTGAACGTGTGGGCGGGAATCTTAGGAGACCAACTTCTCGGGCCAGTGTTTTTAGACCGCTTAAATACGGACAATTATCTAGACTTGCTGCAGAACCAAGTCGAGAACATGCTGGAAGATATCCCTTTGTCTTACCATAGAGGGATGTTTTTTCAGCATGATGGGGCTCCCGCCCATTACTCTCAGCGGGTGCGGGACTACTTGAGTGATACGTATGGCACAAGGTGGATCGGTCGTGGGGGACCAGTGCCGTGGCCCGCTCGTTCTCCCGATCTAACACCAATGGATTTTTTTTTGTGGGGTCGTATTAAAGTCCTCGTATACGGCCAAACCGGACACGACATTAGTGATAACGAGGAACTAAAAAGACGCATAGAAGTTGCATTTTGTGCAGTGAGAAGTGACAGGGACACTTTAAAAAAGGTAGAAAGACACGTCCGCAAACGTGCCTACCTTTGTTTGCAGCAAAATGGTGGTATAGTGCAACAATTTTGCAAATAATAATTTTAGTCTCTTTTTTTGCTAGCGTAAATACTTTTTGATTCGAAACAACTAATTAGTGTACTACCAGTGTGATTGATTTGATAAAAAGTTCTAGTGAAAAAAATGAATATGTTCCTCGTTCCTCGTTGTACTTACTACATCGCCGGTCTCGTAAGTACTGTCTAATACCTAGTTATAAATTTCTTTCTGACCCAAGTATTAAACTGCAATAAGTATTTGTTTTTGTAACAAAATTATTATTAACTTTTTAGGTATTTTTCTCTGCTAATGAGAAGATAACACTTGTTCTTTATTTAAATTTTGTCATTGTAATATGACATCTAAGGCCCGTATGAATAGAACGATCTCAACTCTGAGAGCGATCTTGAGATGCTGTTTAGTATGAACACAGTATCTCGAGGTCGTAGTCTCACTGTACTGTAGATAGGTACGCGCCGCGTCAGCTGTGCGCGCGCGGTCGTTCCCCCCGGCGTCGACCTCGCCTGGCCACATCAACTATTTTTCGTTTATTTTAATAGTGCTTATTTATTTGTTATATTTCACTTACTATGAATACGTGTTTAAAAATAATTATCACTCAAAAGGAGGAAAGGACATAAAAATGCAAAATAAAAAAAATAAAAAACGAAAAAAATAATTTTAAAAAAATCCGAAAAAATCAGGCATACTCTATACACGTAACCCATCAATCTCACGAAGTTTCATAGAAACATTCAATTTCACCCTGTATATTGTACACACATATATATATATGTGAAACTTCTTTAGCTCCATCTGTATGAAGGAGCTAAAGAAGTTTCACTTCAGTTGTATGGTCAACAGCACATTCTTTTTTTTTATTAAATCTTGCGCCTTCCAACGCTCATTGAGGCGGGCCGCATCGCAAGTCGTAACGCATAGCATCGTCACAAAAAATCGCGAAAATTTTGAAGAACAATAAATTCTTTTTTTACCAGTTATAGTGTTTTATTTACGAATTGAGACACATGAGTAAGTTAAACAAAATGGACAAAATAGGACATACAGACAGGAAAAAGAACATTAAAATGATAGAAGCAATAAGTAAAACGATCACATCAAGTATAAGAAACCATAAAAAGGAAGTACGTTTCAACAGCATTCAATCTGAAATCGAGAAAACAGGAGGAATCAAAAGAGTAATGAAGAAACTTAAGGATCACTCATATTGGATACCGAAAATGAAGGGAAAAAACAAAGAAAACAAAGAATTTACAACTACAAACAGAACATCAATCAGCAAAATAGCTACGAACTTCTACAAAAGCCTTTATAGTTCATCCGAACTATCAGTAACAATAGAAAATCTAAACAAAGAAGAAGAAGTCCCTTACATACTAGAAAGCGAAACGAGACAAGCCATACTATCACAAAAGAACGACAAAGCTCCAGAAGATAAAATAACCAATGAACTGCTTAAAGCGTCATTGAGTACTATACTAAAAACACTTACTAGTCTATTTAACGAAATCTTAGATAGTGAAATTATTCCAGAACAATGGACAAAATCAACTATAATATTGATTCACAAAAAGGGCGATAAAGACAAAATAGATAACTATAGACCCATTAGCCTCATGACAAACTTGTACAAAGTTTTTTCGAAAATTATTTTAGGCAGGCTCACCAAACGACTAGACGCGGAGCAACCAAGAGAACAGGCAGGCTTCAGAGCAGATTTTTCAACGGTAGACCACATGCATGTCGTAAAACAAGTAATAGAAAAGTACAGTGAGTACAGGAAACCATATTATATTTCCTTTGTAGACTATAATAAGGCATTTGATTCGCTATCTCAGAACTACATATATAAAGCTTTGTTATATCAAGGAATAGAAAATAAGTATATTAGACTCATAAAGAATATATACAGCAACAACACGGCAAAAGTACAATTAGAAAAAATTGGAGAGGAATTTAAAGTCCAAAAAGGAGTCAGACAAGGGGATCCTCTATCTCCCAAGCTTTTTTCAGCTGTGCTAGAGGAAATTTTCAGAAAATTAGATTGGGAAAAGAGGGGACTAAATATTAATGGATGTAGGCTGTCACACCTGCGATTTGCGGACGACTTGATACTGTTTGCGGAGGACCCAGTCACTCTACAAGAAATGCTCTTACAACTTGCAACAGAAAGTCAAAAAGCAGGTCTGACCATGAACACAAATAAAAAAAAGATCATGACCAATAGACATCAACAAAAAATCTGTGTCAATAATCATGACATTGAGTATGTGAATGACTATACATATTTAGGCCAAATAATTTCACCAAACTCGAAGAGTTGCAAACACGAGTAAACAACACCTGGGCTCGTTACTGGTCGCTGAAGGAAATATTGAAGAATAAGAACACTCCAATGCCAATCAAACGTAAAGTATTCAACATGTGCATCCTACCAATACTTACCTACGGGTGTCGAACGTGGGGCCTGACAACGGCGCACAGTCAAAAACTCAAGGTATGTCAGCAGGGGATAGAGAGAAGCATGCTGCACATCCGTTTGAAAGACAAGTGGAGACTGAGCAGAATTAGAAAAATCACAGGTGTGGCAGATGTTTCCAAGAAAATAAGGAGACTTAAATGGCGTTGGATCGGACATGTGATCAGATCCCCCAAAGAAAAATGGACCAAAGAGGTCGTATCTTGGTACCCCAGAGATGGGAGGAGGACAAGAGGGCGGCCACAGAGAAGATGGGAGGATGACCTACCACAAGGATGGTGCAGATTAGCAAAAATTCGGATAAAATGGAAAATTCTAGAGGAGGCCTATGTCCGAGGAGGACAACCTGATTAAAATAGTGCTGGTGTTACCAATTTTCTTTTATTAGTGTAAGCATTGTAAAATTAAATCAAATTGTAGCAATAGGAAATTAGTAATACGGCTAGTTAGTAAGTAGTATAACTATATCAGAGAATAAAGGCTATTTTTATTTTATTTATTTTTAGTGTTTTTATTATTGTTTCCAAATGGTTTTAGTTGTATCGAAAGCGTCTTTAGGCTATGGTGGCCACTTACAATCAGGCGTTGTTTGCCACTCTTTAAACATAAAAAAACATACATGTGTAAATACAAATAATAAAATTATAAGTAGCTGGCCTGACAGACCTACTTCTGCCAAACTACAGCGACACTTATCTTATTACAAACTGGTTGTGAATCCAAGCCATGCAGGGATCCCTATTAAGTGTTCACCCTTTACACACCAAGTCACGGACAGAAGAAATAAAAATAATAGAAAATTTACTAAATTCTGCCCATTGACTGACATAGATGAATATGTATGATATGCATTTGCAATAAAACTGTTTACTTAATTTGGTTTACAACAAAAACTTACATTAGTTATATGAACCCACTGATCAATAGGAGGATTAATACCAAGAGACTTCAGGAACGCTGGTTTTAACCCGTATAGGTTATCCCTCGGTATTTCTTTTTCCACCAATGGCATATCCGGTGACTTCCTCCTAAGAACACATATGGTCGAATGGCATACAATTTTAAAAGATAAATACAAATGACAATAGAAAGTATACTTCAGGACACATCTATCCGCCCACGTTTCAGATTTCGACAATGATGACGATTCCTGGCTAAAAAGAAATGTTACATTGATCAAAAAGTTTTACCCAGTTTTGGAGCGATTTATTTACCATCTTTTTTGTGTGTTTTTAAATATTTGTAAATAATGTAACCTACATATATTTTTGCTACAGACCATTGAAAATTTAACACTAAGTGGTCCGATAAATGTGTCTGGAAGTACATAAATACAACTTTAATTATTAAGAGACAGAAATGCACAGCACAGCAGGAAAACTATGTGTGGACATGCAATCTTAACTGTAGGTGGGAGGTACATCGAGATACTATAATTTGTGGTCCAGTCCAGGGGTGTAGGCTCAATATGTCTACACTTAAACTGGGTCAGGGTTTCATGATATATAATATTTGATACAGATCATGATATATTTATCCTTAGGTTTGATATTATATTTGATAACCATGAAATAGTATTTATACTCATCAAGTCTATTTATTAAGTATATTTAGAAATATAGTTAAACCCATGTATGTGTGTTAAATTACTAATTATTCATAACAGTACTATAAGATGTGACATCTTTGCTTGCTTTCATTTATATTTAAACATAGATTAAATTATTAACTTACATGGAGACTTCCATTGAGTCTGAAGATGAATCGCTACTGTCAAAACATTCAACATCTGAAATTAAAAAACTATTCGATAAGAACAAACGCACCTACTACTTCACTGACACTCACCATTTAATAAAACACATAAACGGGTATAAAATGAAATTGCTTAATGAAACACCTACAATAGGCTAGTTGACCCTTTTTGGAAAAAGGTTTTAAATGGTTAATAAATGTTCTATTAGACCGAAAAAAAAGTATTGTATTTTTTTGAGACCTAAAAAGCTACAAATCTTAAATTTTAAAATAGATTTTTCGTGGACATACAAAAACGCTGTCGGCCATTTTAGTCTATAGATTATCTATGCTATGACGTTAACTGCAGTAAACACATAACATAAAGGTAAATAAACAAAAACTCGTAAGCACGTAGAAAATAACTTAACTGACTTTATAATAATCAAAAGATGATTTCTAATAAATACCCCGAAAAATAAAATAATTCATTATTGTATTGTACGAGAATATAAAAACACATCCTTGAAGACTCCAGGAAAGTTGTGGATTAAAAGTGCCGAAAGAAATTAACCTACGCAACTTTATTACACTTATTCATATGTTGTATCAGTTTTATATGGTGGCGATTCTGGCGTGATTCTCTAAACTTAAAACTAAATTTAACATCAGTCTCTCCTTTTCATTCTGTATAGAGAATAACAAGGATGCACTGTTGTCAAATTTAAGTTTAGCTTTAGAGAATCATGCCAGAATCGACATCATTGTAATACTAAATACACTGTACTTACATAGATGCCTTGTCGTTTCTCTGCTCCGCAGAGCAGAAATCGGGGTTTAGTGCAATAAATTCACCAACCATGAATGCGTCAATTCTTGGCAGATTTGTGCTTTCTGTTCACAAAGCCGGCATCCATAATTAGTTTTTTCAAAAAAAACAGTAAACGGAAACTTTTCTAAAGTTAAAAGTGTTTTAAGATAAATTTAGTCAGACGAAAGAATCCACCCACAATAACACGCGAATGACATTTAGTTGTTTACCTTAAGAGACGTCACAATCATGGCGGATGTGGCGGATAGCGTTTTTGGTGTTTAGAAAATACAGACTAAAAAATATTTTTTTAAATTAAATTTCTACAGCAATCTTCTGGTTTTATGAAGTGAAATCGATATATTTAGGTTCCTTAGACCAAATACTTTTAGAAATAAACATTTATTTAATACAATTCGACATGAGTCAACTAGCCTATTACTGTTACCGGACAGGGTGTAAACATTTATTTAAAGAAATATTGAAAGTCCTTTTGTGAAAAGATATTGTTTCACAAAGTTATTGCAATGTCATTGGAAGCTCACAGCAGTTGTATTTCAATTTTGTCCAAAAGATATTTGTAAATGAAATCTCTTTTGAACAAAATTATATAAAATGTGTACAGAAAGCAGGGCTGCGAGATCGTATAGTTTTAGATCAATTTGTCAGTCCAGCAGAAACCTCGTTAGAGAAGCATCAATGGAGAAATGGGTAAGCTATAATTTATTTCCATGTGAGCTGTACTTAATAAATATTATTGTTAAATCCACTGTACTGCCTGCATGTTGGCTAATTTATCAAACCCCCTCTACCGATGGCAACCGTTACAGCACATGTTGTTGGATACAGTCATGTTGGATAGATTTATTAATAACCCTGTCTGCGCGTCGCGCATCGCGCTCTTGCATTGCGCAGCCGGGTAAAAATAAAGAATGTTATCAAAAACAAATTCTCCGATTCGTTTCTTGAATATCATGCAATTTTTTTTGCACCTATTTTAACCAGCTTCGATGTAAGTAATTTAAGCTACTCCATACTCATGCTGCAACTACAATAACTTACCGGTCTTTCTTTTTATTCCTGGTAAAGTATGTAACGAACGATCCGACATAGTGTTAGCGTTTAGAAATTTGATTGTGACTGCAATATGCTTCATTAGTCTTTTTAGGTTATAGCATTGTTTTGTTTACACTCTTCACAAATTGTATTTTAGTGATAAAAACCTTTAATTGGTGATAAATCTAAAGACTAGCATTCACGCAAACTACACCGGCGTGTTTATAACAAGGAGAATTTCAATGTTTTCAGTATTTCAACTAAAAATATCCACAACACAATTTTTTATGACATCAATTTTTTTTTGGTTAAGTTTTCCCTTTTCAGGGAAGGCAAGGGGAACAATGCTCATACAGCCTAGTCTTAAGATAATTATTCTGTTTTTCTTTTTACATTTGAATGTCGGTGTGACGCATTCTAATGTTTCTTGAAGTGTTTGGCACGAAATATATCGAGCTGGCTTTTTCGATAAGCTTCTGTGAGATAGTCAATACTACAATAAAATTCTCACGTTCACTTCACCGGAATAGCATATATTTTGACGATTCTACTAATTCTTCAGTTACGAAGACAGTTGTAACACAAAATCACACCAATTTTATTTCACAATATCCACTATTAACGAATTTAAGAATAATTAAAATAAGACGCCAACCACACTAGATGAAATCCCGCCAAAAACCTCCCAATTTATTTTTTTAGCGTTCTCCCTTTTTAGGGAAGGCAGGGAACAATGTCCATACAGCCTAGTCTATAGTTTTCTTTATTCTTTTTTTTTAACATTAGAATATGGGTGTGACGCATTCTAATGTTTCATGCAGTGTTCGGCACGAAACCTATCGAGTCAGCTTTCTCAATAAGCTTCTGTGAGGTAGTCAACACTACAATATACACTAACACTATAATATATAATATACAATAAAGTTCTCACATCCCCTTGACCCAATAACGTATATCATATATTGTAAATATATATTGTAAAGATTCCATTGATCCTTCAGTTTATTTTAATAATTCTTTAATTCATTCATAGTAGATATTGCGAAATAAAATTGGTGTGATAAATTTGACATCAGTCTAGTGAGGTGCAGAATCAATTATCATTAATTGATTTTTCAAATAATCAATGTCGATTCTGGCGTGATTCTCTAAACATATAACTAAATTTAACAACAGTCTCCGTTTCATTCTGTATAGAAAATGACAAGGATACACTGGTATCGATTCTGGCGTGATTCTCTAAACTTAAAACTAAATTTATAATCTTTCTGTCCTTTTTATTCTGTATAGAGAATAACAAGGCTACACTGTTGTCAATTCTAAGTTTAGGTTTAGAGAATCGTGCCAGAATTGGCACCACTGATAGAATAAATTATGGCTGTCTACATCATAGAGATAAGTAATATATTACTAGAAAGTCTACATGTCTTAGAGCATTTATACCTATATGTACGGTATAAATGCTCTAAGCTACATGTATATCAATTATTTCCCACAATACCGTGGTTTTTTCTGTAGTTTATAATGGCAACCCTTTAATTATGGAGAACTTCCAGTGAACGAAAGAAATAAAGAAATCTTTGCTTTTTAAGCAATGTTGTTAACTGAAGGGAATTTCCATCAAAGTTGATGATTTCAACACCCTTTCTAGTACTTTAATAGCTGCTGGTACATTATTTAAGTGGCTTAAGATATTTCAATTCTGCTTATTTGAGAATGAGATCACTCAACCGCTAAGCCATTTCACGTTTGTTTTAGGCTGCAGATAGACGACGCGAAAAAATTCAGACGGCCGCCGGGCGGCGACCGCGCTGTGGCCGCGTAAATGTTCAGTCATAGCAGATTTATGTTTTATTAATTAGGACTTAACGTTGAAATTCTTTGTGAGTAACTAACTGCGCAGCGATCGCGTGGCGACCACGCGGTGTGATGGAGGAGTGGACGCACAAAACTTTTAACTAATAATCCAGATTTAGTAGAATGGACCCAGTGCGGATTGGTGGGTGATAACGGACCTAGTGCGGATTGGTGTGTGATAACGGACTCAGAGTGGATTGGTGGGTGATAATGGACCGAATGCGGATTGGAGGGTGATAACGGACCCAGCGCGGATTGGTGGGTGATAATGAACCCAGTGCGGATTGGAGGGTGATAACGGGCCAGAGCGGATGGGTGATTTTTTTTCTATCAAAAAATCTTCAGGTTTAGTTTATGATTTTCAGATCATTGGAGCTAAAGAAGTTTCACTTCAGTCGTGTGGTCATAAGCACACTCGCTTTTTTTATAACCATCAAAAGTGTTCCAAATAGTTGTTTTGTTATGGGAGTGAGTATTTTGGGTCGAAGCCCTGGTTAATTTTCTGTGCAATCTGTTTAATTGCTGTGCAATCAGTATATTTGCTGTGCAATCAGTATATTTGATATGAAAATCATATTTCTGTACAATTAAACAAGTTTTTTGTTACTACAGGTTAGATGTATATTTTTGAATTATTTTCAGCACTAGTTTTGTTCAACAAATGTTTTGTTTGCAGTAAAATAATTATTTTGATTTTAAAAGTATTTAAATTGCTGTAATAACTTGATGGGTAATGAGTCATTTGCTGTGCATTTAAAAATATCCCTATTAATAATACCGAAGAAGGCAAAAACAATCTCATTTAGGTGTCTTAATGCGATTAATAAAATTTTTGAACTTTGCAATAGGTACCTATTATTATTAATTTAAGATTTTTGAGACTAAGCAGTCACTGCGACCTATAAGATCTATTGTGACTCTCCCCCAAGTTAAAGCATCTCTTTTAGCCCGACAGCTTCTAAGAAGCTCAAAATGTTTCTAGCTTTTAGAGATTCGATTTCTTCTGGGTGTATTATATGTCGTACCAAATGAATAGTACGTTTGTGGCCCTCATTCACATAGAAGGTGTTTTGGTGTTTCACGCTCCTGATTGATTGATGAAATTGGTGTCTGTTGTGTGTCCATTTAAGACTTTTACGATAGCACGGGTATTCGGCCTGCTAAGTTTTATTAACAGTCCGTTTTTTCGAGTAACCTTCTATTAGTCATTTAGCGTGCTGTAATTCTGGTTAGTTTAACCAGTATTTTTTCGATTCGCTTAAAAGGTCGTCCTTAAGAATTTGCAAAGCATGGTTTCTAGAGATGCCAAAGAAAGGTTGTGGTCCTATCTGTTGCCCCTATGCCCCTGTTCTTGCTAATTCAACAGCTTTCTCGTTGCCGATTATCCCTGAATGACCTGGTACCTATTTAAGTTTTTTTTTAACCCAGGTTATTTGGAACTTGGCTTGAACACCATTAGCAATGACTACATGTTGTTGGAAGCATGACATCTGTAGTCATTGCTAATGGTGTTCAAGCGCTGTTTGGTGGAGAGACCTCAGTACTTGCGAGTGCCAGTTAATCCTGCCAGTAGTACTTACTCTGTATATAGTTGCTTTCGTCTCCTTTATTATAAATATAAAGGGGCGGTATGTTTAGCAAAGCATTAAGTGCAGCACCTGGCGTTGAAGACATAGCACCGGCTGCCATGAGGCATGCTATTTTTTGCAAGCTATTCAGCTTGTTGATGACTGTCGTTTGAGTGGCCAATGCACTACCACACTACGCAGACGTATGTTACCACCGGCCTTACGATGGCGGTGTACATCCACAGGCCGATTTTTGGGTTAAGACCCCATTTCGTCCCAGCTAGTCGACAGCATATCGATACCTTTGGATAGAAAGGTCGTATAAACCAAAACCCGACTTTTCAGAAGAGCAGAAAAAGATAAGATAAAAGTTAGCTTGGATTTACGACTAAGAAAAAATCAATTCTTGGTTAATACAACCCATGAAAATGTACTTTAAAAAAAGTGTATAGGTCGTATATCCATTTTTGGTAAGCTTATGGTCACATTTATTGTCGTAAAACCCCATATGTGTAGTTTTCTTTTGTATTAAAAACCATTTATAATCATAGATCAATTGAATTCTGACTAATCAACAATACTGTTACTCTCCGAATTAGTAGGAACTCATCTTCTTCGTCGTTCATTCGTAATATTATTTAGTAAAAAAACAAGATTATGTTAAATGGTTGTATTCTATGTCACCTACAATTTTAAAAATCTACTTAATCATAAAAAAACTAAAATTATACAAACTTTTGCTAAATTAAAGTAATCCGTGTATGCCATAAAAAAGAAAGAAGAAGAAATTAAAGTAATCAGGCATTTTAATCATTTATAAAATTATGACTTGATCGTTTTTAATTTTTTTGTACATAGTTAAATGTACTTAATTCAATAAATTATATTAATTTAAGACTTTGTACTAAGGCTTACTTACTAAGTGATTTATTGAATTGCAACTTGCAAATCTGTTTAATTTACACATTACCGGTGGGCCAGCAGGGCAGATACTCAATACAATCACTAAGAATTATACACATTGCCTAGACAAAGTATAAAAAGGTAAATAATATTTTATACATTGCCTAAACGCCCCAGCGATTCTATAGATTGGCAGATTGGCTAGGTATTGTATAAAATAGCTGAATTATACAGATTGCCAGTGACACATACATACCTCAGACAATGTTGATCAGATTTCGCACTACGATCATTATAAAGCTGACTGCCAACCATTATACATTTAATTCAAGTATAACTATATTATCTTGGTAGCCTAGACTCACTCCCACGTATTACCAGCAGTATCTTTGGCTCATTCAATTATTAAAAAAACTGGATTCATGGTTGCTAACCTACCTACCTAGGTAAGTACTTACTATGAAATAAAACACAACATCATAATATTTCTCGCGGCGAATACAAAGCCTAAAAATATCACATGTTACAATTTTCCTGAAAGCATTTCACCTTCCGTTCCTCACCCTATTCAGTGAGCATTAGGAAATATTTGTATGACATGTTATTGTGCTATGTATAGGACGTTTGAGAGACAAGTTGTTGCGGCTGTCCAAAGGCTATCTAATAACTTGTCTTGTACGAAATGGTTCCTGCCTAGCTTGGCCTGCATTCCTGTCCAATAATCAGACAGGAAAAAAGAAATATAGAGGTAGCTTTCTGCCGATTATTATTTACGAGACATAATACAGAATGTTAATAAGAAATGAAAATTATCCTTTTAAATAGGGTGGCCGGGGAGTTGACGTTCAAGCGTAAAATTTAGATACTTTATGATGAGGAGTATCCAAATCACCCCCATGTATGTTCTACGATTTTGCCTAGTTTTCGAGTTATAATTTTTTTA